CCCCCCCCCCCGGTCGGCCCAGTGGCAGCATCAAAATGTAGGCCTGACAGATCCAAGTAGGCCGGCGAAAGCCAGGCGACGCTGTTGGGGCTATTTAATTACGCTCATTGGAGCGCACGCACGGTTAATCTACACAACAAGATCCCGGCGGTCCGAAAAGACTTGGGACATGCGCGTGCGCTCCAGGCCCCGTGAGATATCTTGTCGCTCCCAATAACATTCCCGAAAGGAGGAATGCCGGCCGCATAGAGCCCCCCCCCCCACAGGTGGGCCTCCCGGACCCGCAGCATCGATCCCCTACGCGGGAGAATACGGGGCCGATCATAGGGGGGGGGGGGGGGGTCCCAGCCCTGCCCGCTGGCCAGGCCCAAAGACCCAAAAAAGGGGACTCCCGCCATGGGGTCTCCCGAGAGCGAAGACCTCGGCCGCCGCGTGTTGAAGAGCATGCCGGAGCAACAATCAGGAACCATTCAATACTGCGGCCGGCCGGCTGTCAGGCCTCCTCCCGAGCAGCGTGTAAGCATCCGGGGGTCTCTTTCCCTTTTTTTTCTCTCTCTGTCGCCACCAGCTCGCCTTCCGGCCGGGGCCGCTGGCTTGCCCGCGAGCAGACGAGCGCCAATCTCCGGGGCCGGTACGTGTTCCCCCCCTCCGGTCTGGAGGCCGCGCGCTGGCCGGCAGCACCACGCCCTTGGGAGGACTTCCGCCATGCCCCACCGGATTAACACGTCATTAACCCGCAGGAGCCCCGCCGAGTCCACGAGAATTGCATTCCCCGCCGGAGGAACGCTGACCAGACTCGCGGCGGTCGCCAGCCGTCCGGTACCATGCTTCGCAAAGCTCAACGGCGACGGGCGCACGCGATGGGCAGCCCCGGCTGCTGACATCCCCGGCATTTCCCTTGACCGGTCCGATGGCCACTGGGAAAGGAGGGCCAGTGGGCAGGGGAGACAGCTCCCCCCTCATCGGGCGGTTTAACACTGGGGGGGGGGGGGGCGGGGACGGGCCCCTGGCGACCGTGGCAAAGGATGGAGCCGGCACCACGGCTGATGCGGGCGGCGGTGCTCTCCTTCCGCGCCCTCCTGCGCGGGGGAGACCCGTCTTTGTTCTGGAAAGCGCCTTCCTGCTTTCGCCCGGCTTTTCGCGACGAGTCCGGGGGAGATGCCGGTCTCGGGGGATTTCCCCCGGGCGATGTGTTGGCAATCCTCCTGCTTCGTGCGGCTGTGTCCCTGGCCCAAGGCCCCCCCCCCCCAGATCGGCAACACTTGTGTCTGGCGCCGCATGTGCAGGAGGCTCTGCCGCCGCCACCCCCTGGGCGCCGCACATGCTTAACCCGCGAGATGCCTGCCGTGCAGCCGCCCCCCCCCCCCCAACAGGCAGACGGCCCCAGGACGGTGCTCGACGTTCGCGTCGCCAATCTCGTGGAAGTCATCCAACCCCGAGTGGCACGTGATGTGCTAATACGGCGCTCCCCACGGAAGGCAGATCCCCGACCCTGAGGAGGGAGGCCGGAGGGGGCGATACATGCAGCAGGGCGTGTGTCGCCGCAGCGATGGATAACACAGGCTATGCGGACACTCGCCCCATTGGGGACCGCGAGCGGCGGCGGCGGCGGCGGCGGCGGCGGCGCGGGGCGTGGAGAAAATGCTCCCACCGGGTCGCCCAGACGCACGGTCCGCAGCGGCCGACCCAGATGGTCGGCCGGCCACACGGCGGGTCTCAAGAGGACCGGGGGGGCCGGGCACCGGGGTCCGTGAGGACCGCGCACACATTACCGTTTCCACGAGCGGGGGCATATCGGCATGGGCCGGCCGGCCGGCCGGCGCGCCGCGGAATCCCCAGGCCGCGATCGGGCTCCGCGGGGGCAGGCGAATGGGCCGGGCGGAGGGGATTCGGCAGATCGTCCGCCCCCCCCCCCCCCCCCCCCCCCCACCGCCTGTCACGGGCAAGCAGCCGAGTGGGACAT